CGACCAGCCAGGAGGCCGGGCGGGTCCAAGTGCTGGTTTGACAGCAGTCAGGTCAGTGGGCAGAGAAAGCAATTCACGCGTGCAGGCTTGCTACTCGTCGCCGACCCAAAAGGCATCTATGTGGCAACTGTGATTGGCTGTTCACAGACGTCGAGAACAGCATCGGTGGGCCTTTGGGAAAGTCCACTTTGACGCGAGCTCGTCACAACAGATGCAGTGGCTAAAATACTTCGGCATCCTGTCTGCAAGATCTGTGGTAGCCCTTTGCCAAACTTGAATGCATTTACAACTTTGCCGTATTTTCATTTGTACACAACCTTCTAGATTACTTATAGCCATTACCCATTTCTGTAACCTGCATTTATAACATTTTATTTAAGTTGGCGTACAGCTGTTTCCCGCTACACTTTAACTGATTTGCATGTTGATTAAATAGCGGAAATTTTTCTATTTAAAAAGGACGAAGACTCCGTATTCTGCCTTGAGCGGGGCGGATGCACGCAGTCGTGTTGGTCGCTGCGACGATCCCGCGCTCTCACACGGCCCTCACGGTTGAGCGCCATGCCAGACCCAGTGGCAACTTCCTTCAAATTCATTCCGTGGATAATATATCCTTCCTACTACTCTGGCCTTCCCGAAAATTCTCGCTCATCTCCCAAGGAACCGGGCTTAGAAGATCGCAGCCGTTGGGGTTAAACCTCATTATCCATAACATGACCCCATTCGACGCGCAACCTTTGCCCTCTCGCAACTGGGGCGCACACACGCACCCCAGACTGGTCGGGCCAGTCAGCATCCTGAAGGTGACTCACACAATGCTCGCCCTGGGGCCCGTGTAATAATATGAGTGCAAGCATCAGCTCGATAAAATCACAAACAATGCAGATGCTCCAGGCTATAACAAGGATGACTTGCATCTCACAGAAGTGAAAATGCCATAAATGTCAATTCATGGAGGTCATCACAGTCTGGCTCTCGGTCGTAAGGAGAGTCGTATGTCATATGCTCTTTTTCAAACCTAATCACACAGCAGTTTGACCATCACAAACGCAGTTGTTCACCGTCTCAGGGATCAAAAGCGAACTAAGCAAAATTGTATGAAGTTACCAAACTCTTTTAGACGATGCGACCACCACCATCACTGAAACAAATAAGTCTGTCTCTTCTAATGGATTTCAGCAGGAGTCTGAAACGCCGGACGCACAAAGTTGCTGTTACTCACGCGTTCGCATCTACCTCCTCGCGGGTTCGGCACCGGCCATGTCGCTGGAACTGGGAGCCCTCTAGGATGCCTTCAAGTCAGCACCTTATTTGTCACTTTAAACCATTGTTCCCGCTTCTCCTGTTATATTCATTTCAGGTCGGTTTTAACCCTCGAGAGTGTGGGCAGTTGAAATTTCTACTTACTCCTCCCAATAGGACGGCCTTTAAAGTATGAGGTAACTCCTTTTTTGGTAAATAATGTGTGAGCACGCAATGCACTATCGACTGCAGTTGAAAGAGTAGCAGAGCAGTAGTATTTGATTAAGCAGTTATTGGATTTCATGTCCAGACTGACATCGGTATGCACAGGAGGCTATGCGGTGAGGCTCTCCGTCCGTGGGGACAGCAGTTTCTCGATGAACCCTTCATGGAAGTGTTTCTAGGTCAGAGTCCTCTATTCTATGTGCGTGCTTTATGCAGGGGAAGCGACGGGCCAACACGGGGGCGTAATTAGGTTCCGATATACAGTAGATTCCCTATCTCATGAAGTGTCACCCGGAATTCTGATATGCGTTTTCGATTCAAGCATATTAATTACGTATGGTTGTAATAACGACAATCATAAAGCCTAATCTCCATATATATAAGTCACGTCAGGATGTCAACTTTTTA